GGAGGCATTAAAGAAAATTGAAAGGTTGTTTCTAAAAAATCATGACCAACACATATTTGGTGAAGTCATTCTACTTTTGGTTAGCCTGTGCTTGTAAAAGGAATATCCAGGTGATCAGAACAAAATTTCATGCAGTAGAAAAGAGAACTTTTCAAAAAAATAAACTTGCCCACTACCGCTGTTAATGCCCAACTTCCAAAACACACTGTCCCATTGCTATGTATCTTTTGATAACTTCGATTTTGAGATGAATTCATTCCAAGTTCTACTGCCATAGAGAATAGAAAGTCATATATGGATACATTTAAAGTGGACTCAATAGTTACTTGTTTCTGTAATTTTCCCAAAGAATAACTTAGCATAAATACTAATAAAAATTATTATAGTTTGCAAACTATTCCAAAATTTATATTTACTATTCCAAAGTAGGAAGTCAGTTTATTTAATGACCTAGACCAAAGAGCTACATTTTGCAGCTGCATCATCCCGTTGTATTGATTGAAGTGATTTGTTATTAGAAAATCACACATCTCATTGGACATTAGTAAAAGCATATTATAGCCATTATGTGTGGCTTGGCAATAATTGTTTTTTAAATATACAAGCTAAAATCATCTATTTTAATAAGGTATTGAACTTTGATGGTTAGGTCAATTCATTTTTTTGCTAGAATGCTGATCCACTTGAAAAAAAGATTGTGGCTCTACCGACAGGTTCTCTTAGAGAACTACCTTCAACAGAAACTAGATATAAATTTTTCCAAGTAGACATTTTGGTCAAGCAAGCATCTACCATCTGCTGATTGGACTTCTAAAGATAAGGATTTGCAGTTACCCAATAACAGATTCCTAAAAAGGAATATAACCCCAAACTGTCTACTACCCAATTTTTATCTAAATAAAAACCAAAACTTGTTGCCGGTGAGTTGATTCCGACTCACAGCGACCCTATAGGACAGAGCAGAACTGCCCCATAGGGTTTCCAAGGAGCACCTCGTGGATTCGCACTGCTGACCTTTGGTTAGCATCCGAGCTCTTAACCACTGTGCCACCAGGGCTCCTAGTAATATGGTCGAAGAACTTTATGAATGATAAGCAGTCCACCCATTCTTCTGTATATTCTAAGGTTTTTGCTTGCAAAAAGTCAAGCAATCAGAAATCAAGGTACTTTCACCATTTTACCCAAACCAGGAGTAACACTGCTGTCATTGAAAAGTACATTTGTTTGTTACCATGATGGTTCTCACGGAGGATCAGGCACTTAAGAGACCCTGAATACATATTTGTGGAAGGAAGAGAGGGGAAGGGGCAGAGAAATGGTTCTAGAAGATCCTCATGAAACTGATTCTTTCATTTGCTATTTATAAAAACACTGCTCAATACCACAGTTTTCTTTTATAAAGATACACATGCAAAACTTCTTTTAAAGTTCAGCTAATCAGAGAAACCATTATTTTAGCTCATGAAAAGTTCCATGACTATATTTCCACCTCACTTTGACCACCAGTAAGCCCAAACATTGGAGCCCTGGTGGCACAGTGGTTGAGCACTCAGCTACTAACCAAAAGGTTGGTGGTTCGAATCCACCAGGTGCTCCATGGGAGAAAGATGTGGCAGTCTGCTTCCGTAAAGATTTACAGCCTTGGAAACCCTATGGGGCGGTTCTAGTCTGTCCTATAGGGTTGCTAAAAGTCGGAATCAACTCAGTGGCAATGGGTTTGGTTTGGTTTAAAGTCCAAACATACATACATACTTTAATTTTTATCTACACCTTAGTAAGGGATTCTAATTTAAGTTTACCTTACATCTGTTATATCTATTTACCATAGGCCACATCAAATCTTTGGGATATAAGTTAGAAAATAAACAAATCTCTTCTCTCTGAACTAGGAGTTATTATGGTTAGCTAGCCTGATTACTAACAGAGACAAAGATATAATATGGTTGCTGCAATTAAACTATAATGTATATGGAGTTCACAATCCACGTACTTATTTCTAAACAAAGTTAATAATTCAATAGGAATTTTCATACATTTTTTCATACTTGAGCTAAATTTATAAAGAGCATTTAAAAGTAAAAATTTTGGATGTAGAATGTTAAGCTTCATATAATTACCCAGCATGTTTTAACAGATTAAAATATTACCTTGTCTTTCTACTGTCAAATAAATATGGAATTGCTTGTGTGAGGGCTTATCATCAAACCAAACGCTTTATACTCAGTGTGAAAATTCAATCACAATTCTCAAAGATCAAGCTGCTACTTCTGATAACAAACATGATGAGATATTATCTTGTTCAAGATAACTTTCAACTTGACATGTAAGCTAATAAAAAATATGAAGTTGTAGCATTTATTTTGTTTCTTGCACAATAGCAAGCTCCTAAGAGAGATGATCAAAATACCTAGTGTGATTGCATGAAAACACAGTCAACTTTTTATTATCTGGAGACGGTTTAACTGGTTTACAGACTAACTGTAGTAAAAAAAATAACCACATGCATTGCATTTGTAAAAGATTTCAAAATTACTATGTATAGGTGATGTATCTTCATATGAGACGATGTCTGTTTTCAACTACAAAATAATCAAGAGACACTATATTGTGATATTGTGTCTCTTACAACCTGTTTTCATTCGTTCAACAGTAATTTATTATTTAGTATGTACCAAGCAGTGTATTAGACTACACCTCCTCACAATCAGATCTAGTCTCTTGTCCACAGCTCTCCTTAGAGGAAGGTATGAGGGAGGGCATCAGGCAGACCTTTTGTGAGTCGACTCTAATTGTGAGAAGCAAAATCTATAGAAGAACAATTAGGACTAGAAAACAAACCCCAGTGGTTTTCTGAGTGTGAACTTAGCTTCTCCCCCACCTTAGTGACCCATCCTCCATTTTTCTTTCTTTGCTGAAGACCTGAACCTGGCAGTCTTGTCTGCCTCCTTCTCCTTCCAAGTTGATAACTGAATTTGTATTTCCCTCCATCCCCTCTACAACTCTACCTCAAGCCCCTTTACCACTACCTTAGCTAAGGCCTTCATCATCTCAAGCACAGTGGCTGTTACATAGTAGACACGCAACTCTCCAAGGACAGACACTTCCTGTCATCCAATCCCCTGATCTCTCTCCACTGTAACCCTCTAAACATACAACTTTGCGACAGAACTTTCTGCAATGATGAAAATGTTTTACATTTATGCTGTCCAACATGTATAGGCATGGAGCACTTGAAAAGTATGACTGAGGAACTGAATTTTAATTGTCTTTAAATTTTGGTTAATTCAAATGTAAATAGCTGCATGTGGCTAGTGGCGACAGTATTAGACAGCACGTCTCTAATCTTTTTCCATACTGCTGTTAGAATTATCTTCCTAAAAGACATCTGATCGCATCCTTTGCCTTACAGAACCAACATGTCTCCATAAAACCTACATGATAAAGTGTGGTATTCAAGGCTCTTTACAATCTAAACTAATCTACCATCCCAGCCCCATTTCTTACTACTCAATGTACTCACACAAGCCACACTATAACCCTTTATGCAAATTGTTGGTTCTTGCTTAGAATGCCTTTTCTTCTCAGGGAACACCTACTCATCCTTTAAGATCCAGCTCAAAGTCCCATCTCTCTGAATACTTAACTGTCCTCCCTTAGCAGAACCCATCTCTCTCTCTTTCTCTCTTAACTCTGCTGCCATAAGTTTTCCTGTATATCCCCATTACAGCACTTAATCCTAAGGAATGGCTTACATGTAACAAAATATGAGTTCCACATATGCCAGGCAAATATTAATACCATTCATTAAACTGGTTGATCAGGTAAAGCATTTGGCACAGAATTTCACCCCGAGTAAGCACTCAATAAATGTGCAGTCTTCAATACGTGTTTTAGGAACTACATCCCCATGCTAGGTCTCTCAACCTGAATACAGCAGGCTAAGAAACCAAAGAGAGGAAAATGGAAAGATAGAGATGGGGGGCGGGGGGAGGTTCACAAGGCAGTGATGTCAACGGGAGACCGAGGTCATGGAAATTGTGTACAAAAAATTTAGAAAGGCACCAAGAGAATAACTTTTCAGTAAACCCATGGCTAAAGCTGAACTTTATTCTCACCTTCCCTAACTAACTAGCAATAGCAACAACCAAATTCCTTAATCAAGGAGTGTAGGTATTACGCGGTCAAGAACAAGAGAAAGCTTTTCTTATGATGTGTAACTAAGAAGAATTTATTGTAAGCAGATCAGTAAAGCACTATTACCATGGACCACTCCTCAGCAAGGAGCTCTGTCATATAAAAATTGACTATGTCTGCTGTAAGGAAAATTTAACCTATGAGAGAACCCAGGAGAAAAAAAAATTCTCTAAATTTACTCAATTTCTGTATTTTCTAAACTTATATTTAGATAGACAAAAATATTTCAAATCATCAATGATACCTGAGATATGTTTATATATGATATAATAATTTTCCCTTTATATAAAGCACTCTCATTTTCTCTCCCTTTAATCTGCTTATAAAAAAAAATGCAGAGAAAGATTTAAATAATTAAACATAAAATTTTAGTGACAATCCTAAACAATACTCTCTCTCTCTCTATATATATATATATACATATACACACACGTATACACACACACACACACACACACACACACACACCATCATATGCGGGCACCTGAACTGAATAAATATTAGATTTCAGTAATACTTTGATGTTCAATTTCATTGGTTGGAGAAAACAGATAGGTTTATGACATAATTTTGTTATTAAACAAAATCTTCTACTGGAATTTGCAGATCAGAGAAAATTACTATTTGCATTTAGTTCAGAGGTTGAGTAAATCAGCTCAGTTCACGCTGGGTTTGAGTTCATGGTTCAGTTCAAGTTCTCGATAATGAGCACATCAGAACAAAAATATTTAAATTATGTAATCAGGACTGACATTTAAAAATAAGTGTTCAGGCAAATATGTGTTTTTTTAAAAAAACAAACTCACTTTACAGAGAGAGCTAAGGTTATATCCAAAGGTTTGAGCATTCCGGGAGCCGGCATTCATGTAGTTTCCCATTAGCAATACAAGTTCCAGCAACTTGCTAAAGCTTTTGCTCTTCTTTATCTCTTCACAGGCAGTGCTGACAGCCATGATGTCAGGTTTGATGTTATTCACCTGCTCTTCAAACTGAAGCTTAAAGAGGATAGCACTGAGCCGTGGCCGTAGTCTCTTCACATTGCTCATCTGATTGAAAAGAAAATAGCACATTTCCTTTAAAATGCATGGTATACTTTAATACTGCACGGCTGCAAGTAATCTGGGATGATTTATTGGTATGACAGTACCAAAGAAGCAATATGCCCCCCTAAACTGATAGCAGGAATGGAGAAAAGCCCCGCTTGTTTTGGTAAGGAATCTAGAAACTTCCTTTAAAGAAAAAAGTAACAATTCAGATGCTCAATGAAAAGAAAATATTAATTAAGTAAAAAAGCAAATATAATTTTTAAAAAAGCTAAACTTTAAAAAAGGTAATAGGATACATAGGCGACAAAATACAAAGCATCCATACTATTACTTGAAATAATTTTTGTTGAATACTAACATATGCTGGGTCATGTTTAAAACATATTCAGAAAGGTCTAAAAAGGCTTTGTTTTCTTCAAATAGCAATTGCTCTCCGCCAAAGCCCTGCTGCCTAACAGTATGCGTTAGATGGAGGGAGAGTAAATAGGTCCCAATTTGTGCTAAATTGACTTTCTTCAGAAACACAGGGAAGTAGAATGACTCCTGACACATACTAAATTAGCCGAGTCAGAGTTAGGAAACGTGGGAATAACTGGAGATAGAAGCAGTGCAAAGTCACAGTTCCATCACACGTCAAGTGAACACTGTTGGGGACTCCCGGTTTCCCTGTTAGAAATGGCGGGGGGCGGGGGGAGGACTGAAGGTGTCAAAAAGAACAAAGGGGCTGGAGGGGCAGCAAGTCCTTGCCTTTAAGCTTATTTCCCAAGGTTCTAGAAACACAAGTGGTGGTGGGGAGCACTTATCTGAAGGCTGGCGACATAGGGCATTTAAGCTGTATATAAATTCTTTGACCAAATGCATTAAGGACTTGAGACTTAAAACCTATGGATGCAGCAGTAACAACCAGATTGTTGAAATTCAGTAACTATTTTAAATATCAAAAGTAGTTTGAGGTACCGTCAGGGAAAAAAAAGTGACAGAGCACAATAAAGTTACAGTAGGGATTAGTTCTATTAGTTGCAGACCTTAAAGGAAAGGTTAAAACAATAATACATGAAGCTTGTAGGATGCTAAATCAAAAGCCCAAACCAAACCTGTTACCATCAAGTCGATGTGACTCATAGATACAGTGAAAAACATGATTGTTAAGGAGACGGAAAGCTACTTGCTCATAATAATGCTTGCTACTTAAAATAAAATACACCACACAAAAGCTTGACTCCTACCAGACTCTATTATCATAATACAGACACTGCCTTAATAATGGAACAATGAAACCCAGACTACTCATCTACCAATAAAACTGAGCAGTAAAGAATTAGCTTTCAGAAGATAGTTCTGAGAGATTATTTTCAGATAGACCAAATTCTTACAGTAACTGAAAAGTTTCATAGCAAATAATATAAATAGCTTGTTTATACCTAGTATTCTCCCCAGCCACTTGGCATGTTAACTGTTTATGTGTAATACATGCAATGTTCTGAGAGCTAAACTGATGTAGTTAATAAGAGAACCCCTCCACAAAATACATTAAGGAAGGCCTTCAAATTCCTCGACTTTAAGGAATGTCTTCAAATTCCCCTTTCTAGAGAAAATACAGTGATATTTTTTTCTCCTACAAGAGAGTAACAAGACTGTATGCTCAAAAAAGAAAGATATATATAAAGAAACATTACTAATGAAGGTTTTATAGAATAAGTTTAGTATCAATTCTTCGAAGGCATGAATCATTCTTTTTGGACTTTGTGTCTCTAGCACACAAAGCAGGATTAAGCAGTGATTACTTCTGATACAGTCATCTGATTCGTCTTAAAATATATTGTAAGGCCCCCAAATGTATTCTCTTCCCTGGAATTTTTATCCTTACTTAAACATTACAAACAGTAGGTATTCATATTATATTGGACTAATTCTGTATAATGCTCTATCATACTTTAGATATCCCTTAGAATTGTGAGATGTACAAAAGAGCATGTACATAAATTTAGTTACAGCCATTCAGAAGGGACATGATGGGCCCAGAGCATCTCTGTTTTCAGTCTATGCCCTGATTCATGATTACGAAGTCAGGTATTTGGCACTTTGAAATAACCATGAGAAAGAATTCTCTAGTAGCCCGTGCAAAACTTTAGTATTTGAAAATAATTCTAACATATGTCAATGTACAATTCTGTGCACAAGAAAAAAAAAAGACTGCTTAAATGCTTACATAATACCACCCCAAAATATGTTAAAGCTTTCCTGCTGACAAGCTAACCATATGTAGCCAGCACAAAGTAATTAATTTTCCTAGAAAAATATAACCTAGATTTGTAAGAGTAATGAGTCTATCTGGCACTAGGGACAGGTATTTTGAAAAGATAAAGTCTATGATATAATGCAGAACAAAGTGCTATGAGTTCCAGAAAAACCCTGACAAAGCAAAGTCAGGAATGATAACCTGAAAAACAGATATCTGAACGACAATTTCTTTGTCAGAAGTCCTTTTCATAGTGCTTTCCTAAATTTAGACCAATTAGTCTTCTATTATGAAATAAATATATTTTAGTAAACAAAATTACTGAACTTATTTTTGTCTGTACTCTACTATTTAGCCATACTCTGATCCCCTAGGCCAAATGGTTGCCCTTTTATTTCAGAAAAAGTCTAACCTGTAGCTAACGTTTGAAAGTCCTAAATCTTGGAATCTATAATGATAATGGCAGGTTATTTTTTTTTCCTTTAGTAAATTAAAGTTTATTTCGTCAAATGGGGTCAATTGAAGGAAAAGGTGAGAAAGCTTAAAAAAACCAAAGCATGTTTCCTCATCCTCACTACTTCCCATTTCCTTTCAACAGCAGGGATTTTCATGTTCATGTGCTAACAAACCTAGAACTCGGTCTTGGCTGCCAAAGACGAAACTGAATGCAGAATTGGCAAGCATGGTGCCCAAATAATATTCTGAATGACAAGAGAAAGTCATTTTAACAAAAGAAGAAAGGAAGAGTTACAGTAAAAGTAACTGTAAATAGTTAATAATTTAACTGTTAAGGAGTCTTAGCAGTGTAACCTCACGGCACCAAAATCTATGACAATAAGGAGTTATAAGCTGAGGAGTCATCTCAAAGTATAAAAAAGAAAGTAAAAGTACTTGGGTTTCACTGCTTTTTCTTGAAGGCAGGGAGCAAACGGTATTCCTGTAGTCTCCCCAGCCCGCCACTCATCTATACCACATGTCAGAATGAAGAAACCTTGAAAGCAGTAACTGGTGAAAAACAAACAGGAAGCAATATCCAGATCCCTAAGGGTAATTTTTATTTCAAAATTTTGTTTTTTAGCAACATATGTGTTGTTGGAGGAGAGACAAAGTACAATGAAAAGACCTTTAGAAAATCAATGAACCAAAAAGTACTGACTGGGTGCCCACTCAGTGCTGTGAGGCCCAGAAGTCATGGCTGCTGCCCTTGCAGCACATTATCATCTGATTCCTTCCATCTGCCGTAAAGGGTAAAAAGGAGAAAAAGTCCCAAGGGAGACGCCGTCTCCCATAACTCATTACGGTTATATTTTCCACACACAATTTCAATCTTATCCATTATCTGATGGGGAAAAAATAAGAAGGAATTTGACATTTTTTACACCAATTATGTTTAACACGGTATCTGGTTTCCTGCTTACAGTATCTTTTATAAAGAAGAGGTTTTCAGTAGCCAACTTTTTCAAAACCTGCTGAGTTTTTTTCCTCCCTTTCTGCCATACAGACTCATGTAGGTTCACCTCAAAAGAAATTTTAGTACATGCTCCATATCTTTGTTATTCTTCCCTGAAGTCATTATAAAACTATTTAACCATTCATTTGACTTTCTTTCAAACACTACAGTAAGCCACTGATTGAAAAGCTACTACTTCAGTCTTAATTGACATTAATTTTTATGATACTCTAAACCTTTAGTTCATACACTTTGTAACTGCATAATTATAAGGAATAACGGAACAGAGTTTCAGGAAGGTTAAAGGACAACTTTGAGATCACATGGCAGGTAAGACCTGGGCCTCGAGCTAACTTGCTGCAATCAAGAGTATCACAATTGGAAATTAATAAGCACAACTTAAAAACCACATGGAATCCAAAGCTTCCTCTACTATGTTTTCCTATCAGTAAAATGAGCTTTAATTTCCCCCACAGTGGCTATTGGATGGAGTCCCTAGGTGGTGCAAAAGGTTAAGTGCTGGACTACTAACTGAAAGGTGGACTACTTAAACTCACCCAGAGTGACCTTGGAAGAAATGCCTGGAGATCTGCTCTCAAAAGGTCACAGCCTTGAGAAACCCTATGGAGTAGTTCTACTCTGCAACATATGGGGTCACCATGAGTCAGAATCAACCCAACAACAACGGGTTTTTGTTTGTTTAAGCTATTAAACAACACACTGTGGAGAAAGACCTTGCTGTGAGCTCTGCCTGCTGCTATCTCAATATTTCTTTCCTTTCTCCTTAGCATTTCCAGCTACATCCTATTGTGTTGAATTTGTGATACTTTTCCAGATCCATTTTGTTGTCCCCTCCACACTGTATTCTCTACTCATAGTTCTCTATTAGCTAATTCTTCTGTTCTCTATAGGAGAGGTATGACAAGCAAGGAGAACATGAAATATCAAATGCCTTTTTGTGAAATATAAGACTAGAGAAAAGGAAAAAAGGGCTGGGGAAGGGAAGTGACATCTGAGAAAGGAGTACACTAATAACAGAATTAAGATACTTCAAAAAAAGTTAAACCAGATTTTTTCAATTAAACTACAGGAAGCATACCTCCTCTTTACTGTTAGCTGGCAAATATTTTCAGGACCTCCAGAATTCTCAGGGAAAGAAAAGTTCATTTAGCTTCAAGAGTGAAAATTCCATATTCAATAAAAACCCCACTGTCATAGAGTCAGTTCCGACTCATAGCGACCCTATAGGACAGAGTAGAACTGCTCCATAAGGTTTCAAAGACTGCAAATCTTTACAGAAGCAGACTGTTA